TGAGAAGCTTTATTCTCAGTGCTTGCCTGGTCTACTCAGGGATCAGAACTGTATCGCGTGGCCTCTGTATCCCAACAAAAGTCATAAAATACCAAATATTTTATTACCTCCCTTTGAGCTGATCACAAAGTACAAGCAGGAATTTTCCACAGGAACTATTCTGAGAGTGATTTCAAATGAAAGAACACGTTGCAGATAGTTATGAACTGTTCTTGAAGCGTGCTAAAAAAACACTGATGAAGCTCAGAAAATCAGTGTTTCATCAGGAAGTTCATTGCATGGCTTTAAAGATGTGGTTTCATTAATTTGCTTTAGTTTTTAAGAACTTCCCCTAGTTGATGTTATCCTTGTGATTAGCTATATCTTTCCCAATGATAGGTATTCATATCATGAGTCCATGATACATATTGCCTGACCAATGGGAAGGATTAGTAGCTTATTTTTTTTCCTGAAATAAAGAGGTTATAAAACCTTAACAGGTAAAAAAATACATCTAGTTTCAATTAATAAAAACAGAAGCATTAGTTAGATAATACTGTTGGTCTCTGAGAATAAAATAACAATGTAATTTCCAGATTAAAAAAAAATTAAAAAAAATCTGTATGAAAGTCTGTGTGCCCAGAGCAGAAGGGAAAATTATTTCAGTGTTGTTCCAATTATTTTGAGCCAATGAAGGAACTGCCAGTTCAAGAAAAATCAGTGTTAAGATTAAATGTAACAGAAAACCAAACAATATTTTAAAAATACAACCAGCTTTTGCTCCATTGTGTACTGACAGCTGGAGACTCTGGTTTTTAATGTTTTGCACCATTCGACCATTACCCACAGACAGTGTTTCTCTGAGGTTTCTCTGTGGCATTACCACCAACCTCTCCTGCTATGCAATGTGAAGCCAGAAAAGTGCTGCTGGCCACCATGTGTGCCTTGCAGAGCAGCCCTGCCCACCTGCAGGCTGGAAGTCTGCTGATGAAGTGATCAGGCTATTTATTCTGAGAGGGCAGCTTGGGTGTCCTTCCTCCACCCTGGCAACCATGGTGGCAAGCCAAAAGGAAAAGCCCAGGAGCTACTGACAGGCTTTTACAGCTCTTACAGTTTTATTATGAGCCTCTGGTCCTTCTGCCCCTCTACCCACCCACCCCCCACCAGGGACCTCCTGGGCTGATACCACTCAACTTCTGCCCTGTTCAGGCCAAGAAACCCAAGTGTGGGATAGGCTTCAGCTATGCCTGCTGTGAGAGGTGCCAGTTCCTGGGGACTTCAAAAGAAAATCCTTGACATCCTTTGAGGTCTGCAGTAGCAAATCTTCCTTTAGCTTAGCTCACACTACAAAGCCAGTGCAATTCTTTTCATCTGCTTGGTTTTCAAGCATTTTGTGATCTGTGTTTCCATGGCAAGTTCAGATGAAGTTGGCCAGCAGGTGTTAGCCTTTAAGTTGCTAGTGGGCATGAATGCACACAGGACAGCAGCATAAAAAACCACACAGAGTCACGACTGTTGCAGGTGCTTCTTAAATTCCCTTCGCCATTGACTCCCTGCTGCCTCTCTGTCACTAACAGCCCATTCAGAATTATTTGTATTTTGGAACAAAAGTGAAATCTCTCACCTTACACCAGCATGTGCTGTTCCTTTGATAGCCTTTCTCTGCTCTCTCTGATCTGCTAGTCTTGAACACAAGCAGGAAT